CCAACGAAGAGATCGTTGAGGCTGGAGTCGGCAAACGGCGCGCACGAGCAAACGGCTCGGGGTCCGGTAGCTGGCGCGGCACTGCGACGGCATCACGCTCGGGCCCAAGTGGCCCCACGTGGAACGTCGCTGGCGCAGCAGCAGTGTCGCAGATGATCACGGGTTCGTGGCTCGTCATCACTGCAGTAGCCGCACATAGAATGGCGGCTGGCTTGGCGCCGCACGAGATCACGTCGGGCGGACGGCCAGTAGAGCCGACGTCGCCGACGGCTGACCGTGAGGCAGCACTCCTGCCGGCCGAGACAGCGGTAGGCCGTGACGATGGCCACGGCAGTGGAGGAGCTCGAGCGAAAGGCTCGGGGTCCGGTGGTTTGGGCGACACCACCGTGGCATCACGCTTGGCCACATACGAGCCTGCGCGGAGCACCGTAGGCGCAACCACGTTACTGGCGACGACTTGAGCAACGGGCATGCTCGACGGTACCGGAGCGACCAAAGGGCACTTGGTGACCGACGCCTCAAGAGCACTCGTCGTTGTACCTGGCCCGGGGCAACCGGGCATTGGCACGTCGTCCGCACTTGTTGGATCCGCCCGCCGGGGCGTTGTTGCAGAGGCACCGTGATACAGATCGGCGTCGTGCACAAGTTGATCGTCGACGGCGGGCGAGACGGTCCACGCATTTGGTAGCACCACCTTGGTGGACGTGGGACAACCCTGCACCACTGCAGAGCTATCCATGCTTGCAGCAGACCGATAATACGAAGCCGACCCACAAGGCGTAGGCCCACTGCCCCCATGCACGCAAGCATGCATAGAAGCGTGGTGCGCGGCGGGTGCTTGAGCATCGTCCGCGGCAGGAGGCGCACACGAGCGGAGCAGAGGCGCCACGTCGCCACTTGACGACAAGGACGGCGCAACGACCAGCGGCGCCGGCGTCGCGTCATGCACCGTGTACGAAGCCACGGATACGTCGGCGCCATCGGTGGGTCCGGGCACTTGAGCCGGAGGCATCTCGTCGACGCACGGCGACGCGGGCGTCGCAGTTGCCCAAGGTGCTGGTCTGGCGGCCACAGCCGCGTTCATGTCGGCCAATGCGACACGAGCGCCGACGTTGGCATCAGGTCCGACCAGATGGACCACATGCGCCGGGTCAGCGTACGACGACACGGGCGTCGCAGCAACCGAAGGCGCAAGCACCGCGGTGGCAGCCGCGGGCGTGACGACGAGAGCGGCACGAGGGCCGACCTTGTCGCCAGGTCCAGTCGAATGGACCAAAGGCGTCCACCCCGTCGATGGTTTGACGGGCAACGCAGGCACCACGGCAACAGCCGAGGGCAAGACGGCGGGCACGACAAGAGCACCGACGTCGTCAGGTCCGAAAGTTTGGACCAAAGGCGCCCGCCCAATCGAAGCAGCGACGGGAAGCGCCGACACCGCAGCAGCTGCCGCGGGCAGGGTGACAGACACGGCGCGAGCACCGACGTCGTCAAAGGGTCCACTTAAACGGACCAGATGCGCCGTGTCGACAAAGGTCGACCCGGTCGAGGCATTGACCGGTGGCACCGGCGCCGCGGCAGCAGCCGTGGGCAAGACGACAGGCACAGCACAGGTGCCGATGTCGTCGAAGGGTCCAAGCAGTCGGCCCGAAGGCACCCGACCAGTCGTAAAGTCGACAGGCGTCGCCGGCTCCGCGGCAGCAGCCGAGGGCAAAACGGCGGGCACGGATCCGAAAGGTTGGACCATGGGCACCCGGCCATTTGTGAAGGCGACCGGTGGCGCCAGCGACACCGCAGCAATCGAGGGCGCGACGGCGGACTCGACGCATGGTCCGAAGTTGCCGGTGGATGCGCGTACCCCAAGTGCCACACCAGAGCTGATCGGGCTTGACGCAGACAGGCCAGGCGTAACCGACCCACTGCCCCCATGAGGACAAGCACGCATCGCATCGAGAGACGTGGCCGGGTAGGGCAAGGGCGTTGACGCGACCCCATGGCTTACGCTTGGTGGAAGCGACTTGGCGGGCAGCGAGCCGCGGAAAGAGTCCACGGCCGCCTTGGCGAGACGTGAATCGGTATCGTCACCATTCGCAGCACTGGCGGCGAGTCGGCGAGCCAGCTCGCGATTAATGGTGGCTTCAACCGAGAGCGCATACAACGCCGCCTCTTGACGACGCGCTTCCTCCAAACGGAGCGCTTCTTCGCGACGCAGCACTTCCTCCCGGTAGAACGCTTCTTCAAGACGGGCCGCTTCTTCCCGGCAGCGCGCTTCTTCCAAACGCATCGCCTCGGCACGGGCTCGTGATTCCCAATGAGGGTAGTACGGCGCCGGCAGCGGCGCGTACTGAGCTGGCGGGGCATAATACCGTCGGCTCTCTTCGAGCAGCCACTCCTGGTGGCGAAGCTCTTCATCACGACGCTGCAGCTCACGGGCCTGCTCTTGGTATGACCACTGCGCGTCGTGCGGCGCCAAAAGGGGCGCGTGATCGACGTCCACATGATACGACGTGTACTGGTGATACGACGTGTACTGGTGCACGGGCTGCGGCGGCAAATGCGCCACATGGCCGTACGCATAAGACGGCTCGGCCATCGCGCACGGATGCCCGTACGTATCGAACGGCTGTGCCGTCACGTACGGGTGGCCGACGGACTCCGCCAAACCGAAGCCGTAGGCCGGCCCACGCAAAACGGGCGCGGGCTGCTCGGGACGCTCGCCGCCGGCAGCGCCTGGCGAGTAGTACCCTTCAAAACGCCCAGACGTCTCCGGGCCACTGGACGGGACCTGCTGCCTAACGGCACGGCCGACGCCCA